GATATATTGTCTTGTGTGACCCCATTAGAAATCATTTATATGAATATTTGTTGTGGAAGGTGAATGGAATGACTTTCGATCCACAAATCTTTCAAAATTCAATTAGAAATTGGAGCTTTAGTCCAAAGAAACACCATTATGGATTTAATGAAAAATAATTTAAAACAACTGGCTACAACTATTAAACCGCTTATTTCGACCGTACAAACAATATTTCAAATTAAATCATTAGATTATTTATGTTGATCGTTCTTGAACTAAACAAATGATTAAAAACAAAATGATCAAGAACAAGTGAAAAACAAATTATGAAATAAATAAAATAGTGCATATATATAATTAATTATAATATCGAGTTGATTTGATGTAGTTTAGGACAGCGACTAAAATTGATTCAAATCCACGGAAATAAAATGAATAAATCTTGCACAATGGCAATGTTAATGTTGGTTGAGTCTCGAAAGAGAGGGGGAGACAGAGTGAAAGAAAAAGAATCGAAAGATTTAAGCCGAAAGAGTCGAAACAGGAGCCAAATCAATATAAGGCAGCACCTTTTTAGAGCTTCATTCGGTCGTGGAACAGCACATAATTCATAATATAAATGCATAAAATATTTATAGTTATTATGTGATATGTTTTAAGTTCTTTCTGTTTTGTAATAAAATCAACGTTACAAATAAAAGTCAAAGCAGTTGCAACAACGATAAAAAACCCATACACACATACAGCTAAACATCATTGAAAAATTTTGCTCAAGAAGACCAACGGGAATGGTTGGATTTAAACACCAGCGACGTAAAGGAGCGAGAAGAGAGAAAAAAAATGTTATGGCTCTAACATTGTGGGCTAAGTCGTCGGGGCAAAATGAACATTAAACAGCATCATTTCATTCACAATACCTGTGTGCAATCACGTATTCGCTAGTCTTTTTTTTTGTTCGTTCGTTCATTTATTTGTTCGTTCATTCTTTCTTTTGCATTTGTTAAACATTGTATTTAAAGCAAAGAAGTAAGCAGGAATAATTACAGTGCTACCGCTGGCAAGGATATAAAATACATACTGAGACAATGTAGTTATAATGATACCAGTTACGTTTATGCTATTCATTTTGCGTTCAGCGCGCGAAAAAAATATATATATACAACCCTCTTATTGTGTATGCCTGGTGCCAATTTTTGCAAAGTTTTGTTCATTCGCGCGGCTCATTTGCAAGCTAAATTCAAAATAGACATGATATCAAATCACCTTCACTGCCGCTGGTTTATTTTTATTTTATTTCAATTTTTTTTTTTCAAATCGAAATGCAATTCATGCGAAGTGAATTGAAACAGCACATGACAAATTACAAACTATAACAAAAACGTCACAATAGCATTAAATGAATTTGAACTTATATAAAAAAAATCAATAAATAAAGCCAGAACACATTAAAATGGCCTATTTTTGACTTACTTATTTTCTCTCTTTTTTAACAAAAAAAAAATACGAGACCGTTGTGTTGTTACTTGTAAAATTAAATGAACCGACAGTAAAAGGGTGCAAAGTGAAATGCATAATTTAATTTTTTTTCGGCTAATTTAAACAAAGCCACTTTATGCTGTTGTCATTTATGAATATAGTACACGCTGTGTACGTCGTTCTTTGTATATATATATTACGTTGCATCGGCCCAACATGGCTTCGACATTGTTTCCGGTGGCAGTTTTTTTTTACTCTCTACGATTTGACGCGATTGTGAACACAAACTTGTCTGAATTCAATTGATTTTAAGATGTGCTCCATTCTTGAATTAACTTGTGTCGCATTCTTTGAACGAAAAAAAAAAGTTTGATGAAGCCATCAAAAATGACAGAGTTTTGTAATAAGTGAACGAAGTAAAGTTTTCGGACATAAATATTTTGCTTGGATTTTCGTTCATATTTCAATTTATTTTCTTTCATCATTTTTGCTCATTTGTAAAAAGTTCACTTAGCACCTGCTTGAATTATGTAAATCTATTAAAAACTAAGGAAATATTGATGGGAATTTATGCATTGAATAATGACATGGCATTGTCGATTCTTGTAATGATTAATAAACATGTAATGCATCGTATTTGTGCCAAAAAAAGCTATGTTGTTAATGATTGTGTAATGGATTCAGATTCTTGACACGAATGTAAATGTGCAATGGGGGAATAAACTGAAAAAAGTGCAAATCTTGTCATTCCCATAATCAGACAGGAAACCATCCAATTAGCAGCATTTTTTGTGCTTGTTTTTTCAATTTATCTTATAAATATTCAAGAAGAACATTTAAGGTAATCCAATCTAAGTCATTTTGGATGAGCTAATGTCATACATTGATACACTGATATGCAGTCAATTGAATTAAAATTTACACATTGAAAGAGAAGAGAAAAAATATTGTCTGAATAACAAAGTGGTGGTTAGCCGCAAAACGAGCTAAATTATTGAGTAAATAATGATAGTTGAATTTTCCATTGCGACTTTTCCACTGTTTGGACGAATTGAATGAATTGACGATGATGATATAACACAATATCTAATAATGCATGATAAACAAGTGACATGACATATTTGATTTGAACATGTGTCAAACAATGTGCCAAGTGATGGTACTTTTCAATTCTGGTTGTAAATTCATTTATTGTAAACGCCAGCGCCGGTACGACACATTATAATTCAAAGTGAATAGGTCAGGTTTTTTTTCCATATTCATTCCTTCTAGTTTGAGTTTGATCACGGTGTAAATATATGCAGGCAAAATTGCATTGCTTTCATATTATATTGACTGGTCATTTTCTCATGCCACATTTGGTGCGCGCTTGTTATTAGTCCACTTGTTTTGGTCGCCGTCGATGTATATGCACTGCAATAGTTTGTCCATATAATTCATTTTTCTTTCTTTCTCTATCGCTGTCTTTCTTGCTCGTGCTTATTCTCTTTTTATTCTTGTTTTATGGAATAGACTGTGGTCGCATAGTAAACGGAAGCAACAACGGACACCGCAAAATATATTAATTATTTAACATTTTCTAGTAATCGAAGACATACAAACACACATTTATTTATTTGTACTAGATCACATGCGCATAATAAGCTAATAAAAAGCGATTTACATAAATTACTGCATCGATCGAGCGAATATGTAAAATATTTTCTAATTTCTTAGCTCAGTTTGTCTCATTCACTTTATGGAAATTGCTATATATAAATTTCTTTCTGAACATCCATTCAATGTTCTCTATTTACAATGGTCCGTTATCATAAAATAGTTATTAAAACTTAAACATTCGCTATAAAACGGTTTCAACGCCAGCGATTTTATATTTATAGCAATTCACTTGTAAAATTAAAGGCAAACAAGTTTACGAAATGAATGCAAAAATGAGAATGTGAATGAAACAACATGACAAAATAAACACAATCAATCAAAATGACGAAAAATTACTGATTATGACAAAAAGGAAAGACAGCCAAGTATAAATCACAATATTCACATATAAAGGTCTATGCATTTGTTCTGCACATAGTAATAATGACCAACAATGATGATTGCCTTTAAATTGAATCCATTTCCAATTAACTTTCAAATCCTTTTTTATCATAAATGATTCATCGTTCAACTATATATACATATATATGGTGAATTCAATATATTATGGTGAATTGATATTTAGGAATGAACAGCAAATTTAAAACTCATATTGTCGAAACTATTGAAATATTGATACGATACATACACAATTTGTGTCATAGAAAATGTAGCAAACGAAAGCGCGTATCTAAATCCCTTTTATTTTGGTTAATATATATTGAATTTAATGAGACTGAAATGGCAAATCTCAATTCGATTTTGTTCGAATTTCTTTTGATTTTCCAGTTAAATTGCCAATTAAACGTTCCATTTACGTTTCAAATCTTTTGAAATAGAATTTCAATGTGTAAATTAACTACGACCTAGTGAATAAATTATGAGATTCGTTGACAAAGTCCAAAACGAAGAACCATTTCTCTTCAATGTAAAACCATTTAATAGAGAAAAAAAGAAAGATAATCACGATCATCAAGTACTCCTTTCATAATAGCCGATAATTATCCAGACGAAAAATGTGCTTTAAAAATGTATCAAAAGATTATCTATTAAGTATTGTTTGTGCTGTGTGAATCAATTTGTACTCCTTTGAACACACAGAATTGTTCATAAATAAAAATGCATTGGACAATTATTTAGTGCAATGTCACGTCTCGCTCGATTATTATTATTATAAAAACGTGAGTAATGAAAACGAATTGTGGAATGGACGTTCTTGGATTCAATCAAAAATACAGAATTTTAATGTACTTTAAAATGGCCACTTCATCATAACTGCCGTTCTTTCTTTCTCTTTCATTTTGATTTGACAATTTCTAACATTTGATGGACTTTTGATTCGCGTGATATAACGAACAAGTAACGAAAACTTTACATAAGTAAAGAAATGCCAAGATTTTTCAAAATGATCTGCGGCAGCGCATATCATCAATATACAATTGTGGCCATAATGCATTTTATTTTCCAACAAAACATCGCGCAGACATACATGCTTTATTGTTTAATATTTAATGAGGCTCATTCGAATAATTGCGCACAAACGCGATTCATTTTTATTGAATTTTAATAAGTTAATAGGTAAAACACATGATTGGTATTCGATTTAATGTTCGTTATATATATAATATTGCTGTTTGAGGCGGCGAGTACACGACGCCAAAAAAAAAAAAAAATAGCCGTGGCAAATTGGAAAAAATACATGCGCTATGACGATGGGGAAGATGGCCATCATCATCTAAATGGTCAAGAGGGGGAGACAGAGAGAAAAAGCGAAAAAAAGCGACCAAAATGAATTTTTATGCTTTATTGTTTTTCTTAATAAAAATTCCGTTTTACGCCATTATTTATGCGCAATTTACAACCGATTTCAATTAAAACTTATGTGTGTATTTACTTTTTTTCAGGCAAAATTAATGGAATCGAATCCATGGTTGGCTCCATCAACGTCTGCATCGCTTGCAGGTAATTGCACTTACTCGAATTTATACAATTTTGTTTGGCTGCCGTTTTATTTTTTCAACTAAAATTTTGAAACAAAAAAAAAACTGTTTTTTTTTTCTCGTTTTCTCAATTTCTCGGAAATTAAACAAACACCAGAAAGCTATCAGTACCAATTGCAATCAATGTGGCAAAAATGCTGGAGCACAAATCAGAATTTAATCCATAATTTACGTTTTCGTGAACGTGGTCCACTAAAATCATGGCGTCCCGAAACGATGGCCGATGCCATAATGAGCGTACTGAAAGATGGTTTGTCATTGTCACAAGCGGCACGAAAATATGACATTCCATATCCAACATTTGTTCTATATGCAAATCGTGTTCATAATATGCTTGGACCATCAATGGATGGTGGCACTGATTTACGACCAAAGGGTAGAGGCCGACCGCAACGAATTTTATTAGGCGTTTGGCCTGAAGAAACAATCAAAGGTGTGGTAAAAACCGTTGTATTTCGTGACGCAAAAGAGCTACGATGCGAAGAGGCTGGCATGCAACTCACCGCTTTTGGTAGACACTCGGTAAGTTTATCTATCGACAGAATTTCGGTATTATTTATTTTGATGTAATTTAATTGATGATTTGTTTGACTCATGTGTTGTTGTTTTTTTTGTTCTCGTTTTGTTTTGTTTGCTTTCTTCTTTTTTTTTATATAGCCAATGTTTCCGTTCAGTGATGGTCAATTAGATTTCTCTGGTGGTTTGCCAAATCATGCACTGAACGCAAATTTACCGGTCAATTTGGATAGCGAATCGTTAAATTCACTAGCAATAGGCCGTTGTTGGCCTTCATTAGCCAATCAACAAGCATCTTCCGGATGAATAAATTCATCATTGATACGAAGCAAACCGATTCTATTACGCCGCAATAGCAGCCACTCAATCCATTGAATATAAATGAACTGAGTTAACGAAAGACCACGACCGACGGATTCAACTAGATGCATTTTTCTCCAGCACTTTTACACAAGCATTTACACATAGAATCGGAATTCGGCAAGAGGAACAAACTCTGAATTAATTAGCATCCGCGTATAGTTTTTATTTAATTTGAAATCCAGGGATTTAAACATTTTGTTCATTTTTTTTTCTTTCGTATTGTTGCATCGAATGCTTGGTTAGACGATTTCGGTTGGCCGTAGATTTTATGATAATATATTTGATTGAAATTTATCAATCGAACTGTTAAATAAACCAATTTCATTAAAACAAAACACCGTTAAAATGAATTACCTACATTTATTGGGAAAAAAGAGTGGAGATAACATACATATTACAATTATAATTCAAATGACAAGAGCATTTTAGTTGAATTTAATTTCACAATTATATATATTTATTTGTTTATTAATTTTTGTGTCTTGGTTTACGAAAATGTAGACTTTGATTGCAGTTTCATGAATATCGATACATTGACAATTTCTTCGCAATCATACAGTCGAAATACTCATAAAAATAAGTGTCTAAATTTATGTTTGAGTCTCTTGATATCTGTCGATTCAATAGAGTTTTTAGAGAAATGATAAACATATTGGGACTTAAGGCAGTGCTCGAATTGCACAACCGGTACATACACAACACTAAAATAATAATCAAGTGATAAGTACAATTCACAGAGAGACAGAGACACAATCACTTACCCACAGTTATTAGATGAATTAATATGAGAATGGAAACAAGCGACAATTTATAAATTAAAGCGTTAGAATTTAATTAAGAAAAAATGAAGTAACATGGAAAAAGTGCATTTTTAGATCAATAAAAAAATAATTATTATAATATGTATTAGTTAGATTTAATATTAAGATCGAACACAAATACAAACACAAATATACATTTACATGATGACACCCAAAAGGGGCGGCCCATGCATGTATCAAATATTTCGGAACAATCAATTAGGATGGATTCTTGGTTTTCTTTCGAATCGAACTCAATCGATGGAAATCGGCAAGGCAAAGTGCTTCAATGCACCAAATAAACAGCAGTAGCAGTCAATAAGCAATAATAACAGTACATGTTTTTTTTTGTAGCGATATAACTATATAATTTGACCAAACCACATCTGTTATCTATGCTTTGCAATCGATATGGCCCAATCATCATTTTTTTTTCTTAAATTGCATTTTTAGAGTCGTTTATTTTTTTAATATACTTTGAATAATTTCGATTAAGTTCTCGAATGATTATAATATGTATTTGTGATATTTCCGATAAAGAAATGAACCTATCAAATCGCTGTAATAATAATTCGATGACTTTTTTGTTCTCGAAATACAAAATAAGAGAATTTGAAGGCGAACTAGCGAAAATGAGACGGAGTGAAAGATGTGAAAATCGTATTATACACACAACACCTGTAGAAATTGTAGGAAAGCAACAGAGTAAGTTTTATGTACCAATTAGATGAAAATCTGAACACATTTATGTAATTGTGACGATATTAAAAATAGAAATAATACAGACATTTATAAAAACAAATGCGATGCAGAATTTCATTTATCCATTAATCGTGACGATCGTAAGCTGCTTATTTACTTTTTTTCAGATTGTAAGGTGAGTATTTGGAGCTCGTGTAAATCTTACTAATTATGTGTGAAATATATTTCCGTCTATCTTTTATATGAGGGTCTTAATCATTTAATCGGATGTAATTCGATTTGATCAAATTGATATAGATCTTTGATAAATCCGCTTAGGATCCAAAGCTGACTTTTTTAATGACTTGATTTATTATTTTTTCATTTTTTTTAAATAAAAAAATTGTTTTTAATAAAGAAATTTGAAAATTAAAAAAAAAAACATACGGAAAAATTGCGTTAATTTTAAAATATAGAAAGGAACATATATTCAAAAAAGCAGCATCTTCAACATACGACCTATGTAAAAAAAACTGAGCAAATTCAAATGGCATGATGATATGAACAAAACGCGGCGAATTGATCAGTGTAACTGGTAACACTAAGTTGGCAACATATTTGACTGTTAAACGATTTTGTTGAGGTATTGCCACAGCTGTTTCACTGTCACTGACAGCTATCAAAAAAACCAATTGGAAAAAAGGAAAACACAATATATACGAGCAAATATTGTGCAAACTACGACATACATCATTGTAGAAAATCTCATGTTCGTAGTGCTTTCGTTATCGAGTTTATTTGCTTGGTGATGTTTTTGTTTAGTTTTCTGTTTTGAAATGGTTAAATGATGGTTGCACATTTCAATAATATAAAACGTAATTTATTAAATTTTTATAAACGAAAATTTGATGGTGAATTTAAAACAAAAAACAAATGTGTTTGAACACCGTATCAATCAATAATTCAATGTGGGAAAATCAAACGAAGTTCAAATGAAAATTAATAACATAGTTCAGCGTCTTCGATAATATTCCACCGTTGACAATTAAAAGTCGAATTTGAAGTGGCATTGTATGGCGTTTCATTTGTCAAATTGATGTGATTTTCATTCAGAAACAATTTAAATAAACTTCATGACATTTTTCCTAATTGACAAATTTGTGTTCGCTTTCTATTTTTGCAGTGCAACATTTCTGCTTTGCTTATGCATCTTACTTACACAGCGATTACCGTTTTTTTTGTTGTTGTTGATTAATCGAAATAATTGTTTTGTGATTGAATGTCAAATGAAGAGAGACTATTTACAACAAAGAACAACAAATCGCTTTTGTGTTTTCTGATTGATGTGCGTTCGTTGGAATTTTGCTAGCAAAATATAAAATTGTTCGAGACACATTACTAAATGAATGAAATCAATTTCATTTACCGACGTAGTGACTTCAGTAGTGGGGAAAAAATACAAAACAAAACAATTACGACAGACGAACATAATAGATTAAAAATATAACTCACATCCGATTGAAATTCATGAAAATTGAAGAGGCTGCACAAATTCGAAACATTTTGGTATACGCAACGTCAAAGCAATCATCATGTTTGTCAATGGTAAGAAGAATTGTAATCGATTGTGATATTAGATAACCTCGTATCTCGACAATATTCTATTATTATCCATTAAAACCCATGAATCATTTTGTGATTGTACTATATATATGCATGTATGGTTTTTATTCGGTATAATTCATGTGAATATGTACAGATTTCATTCAATTTATTTGACCCAAGCGAAAACCGCAAAACTTACCAAAAACATCCGAAGACGAAACAAATTATCTGTATGAATGTAGCAATAGAAATTTTAGTGTGGAAACAAAGGAAAGAAAATGTGAACATTTTGCAACGTCATAATTTGATTAATTCAACACCATATGTTGTCGCATGATTAAATCATGCATTCATTAGAAGGAATCTTGATGAATGTTGTTTCATGCCATTCACGGTATGTTTTACGTGTATGAATGTCATTTATAATGTCATTATGCCGAAACTGTGTGACCCATTCGAAGAACTTTAACAACAAAAAAACCATGAACCTTAGTAAACACCCTACACTTCCGACTTGAACACACCAAAAAATATCAAAGCATAAATATTTTGCTTACAAATAAAACAAAATTAGTTATATGGCCTTAAATTTCTCGGCAATTGTGTATAACAAAGTTGTGATTGAAAACTTGTATTCTTATCGCCACAACTACACGCTTGAAATGGAATGTAATTTTCGACTGGGCTTTGTTGGAATGTTGAAGTAATAAGAATGCGTCAGAAATAAACATGAAAAAAAAAACACTTGTTAGATGTACTCTTGAATGTGCGTGTGTCGTATCATAGAGCAATTTATTTTTAAAAAAAATACGAATTCATTCGAAATAATGAGTAAAGTCTCATAGTATAGTGGCAGATAGTGTATTAAATAAACATGTTGATCGTAATATGGGCTGCCAATAGTAGTATAGTTCGTAGTGATTAAAACATCGATTTGTGATTGGAACTCACACACGTGTGATGGTTTTATTGTATGCGTGTGTTGTTGCTCAGCTCAATTAGTCATTGAGAGAGTTTTGTCAACTTGAATACTCTGACGAATAGAAGAAAGACTCGTGTGAGACAGTTCAAAAGATCATCATCGCACCACAAACTCTATTGAATCAATTTCTGTAGAAATTCAGCAACAAAAAGAAACTAGATTTTATATTTAAAGCCGTGTTTTAAAAGCAATTGTTTTTCTTGTGTTTTTGTTTTATCATATATTCTTTTTCGTTTATTTTGCTGTGCATTTTTTTATAGTTTCAAATAATTTCGTAGTTTTGTGATTTCACGTCCTATTTTGAGGCACACTCGCGCGCATATTTGAAAACGCGATTGCTGAATGGAGACAAAGCGGCACAGATCATTTTCAAATAAGGACTAGAGCATCACTCTTTTGTTTAAAATTCGATTGAAGCACGTAATTATCATTAGAGCGATGCCGTCGATTTTCAAAAATCCAAGAAATTTGAAAGGCCTTAAATGTGTGTACTAAAATGTATTTTTTATTTGATTTTTTTAGTAGCCGCTTTTAATTTTTCTATTTCGTTAGTTTTTGTAGTAGTGTAAAAATGTAGTAGTTGCGCTTAATTTTCAAATTCGTTTTTTTTTTCCTGCTATTTCGCAATACACAATAATTAAATCAATTTTACTGTATAATATTGACGGATAAAAATTCATTTGAATATAGTGCTACGCAGTTTACTTGGCACCGATGCTGGTCCGAATAAGGTAATCGAGATCAAAACTGATTCGCTGGGAAATTTGCCAGTGTTGCTACGTGATGAGGGAATGGTATTGTATGGGCCGGCACTTGGCCAAATTGAAAATCGAAAAATCCAGTATGAAATTGTAATGAATCGACTATGCAGCGACAATCTGAACACAGCATTCAGGTAAAGACAAAACACATTAATGCTTTAAAATGGCAAAATAACGATTTTTTTTTACATTTGTAGCTTGTACCGTGCAACAAATCAGACTGAAGCCGAAGAAAAATTCAACTCTTTTTTGCATCGACTGCCAACGTTTGTTTCAATTGCCAAAGAGGTGAATTTACATCAAATGATTGATGATAAATAATCAATTTTATTGCTGTTTTATTGAACTCTTGATCTCTTCTTTTTGTCTTAATAGATGTATAACATAAATGGTCTACAAAAAGTGTGCGACATTCTTTTGGAGAATCCATCGTGGACAATAGCTCATTTGATCACGAATTTTAATTTAACCGAATACATAAATCATCCTAAAGTATTGGATCTAATTGATGAGGCTGACTATGTTACAAACATGACACCAATTCAAGTAAGTACAGCTAATATGCCACAAATTTAACATGGAAAACTAAAAATAAATAAGACGTTTGAATTGTCATCATATCGCTTCAAACAAGTTCCAATTTGTGAGATGATTTGACACTTTTATAACTTATGTTGCGTGAAATAAAATTCTGGAAATTCAGCAATAACACTGTTAACATTAAGTGAAATCATAAAAAAAAAAAAAATAAAAACAAAATATTTTTTTTCATTCGGAAAAATCCTGTTTAAAATTTTTTATTTTAAAATAAACAAAAACTTAATTTTTACAATCTCAATTGAATTAAGGGTTTCAAGACAATTAAAAATTTAAATTATTTCCGCAATTTTGAATAATTTCTTTATATTTTGTAAATATTTTTTGTAGCTAGCTATCAAATGCAGTCACCTCGAAATGGTTAAAAAACTATTACCGCAGTGTAAACTCAATCATTTGGATAATAATATGAATTCGATATTTCATTATGCAGCACCAACCACGAAAGAAATCATCAATGTAAGTTTGACTCAAATCATTGACATGCTCAGTGCTCACACGCACTCATGCACACATGCAAGATGTCTTTGCCGTGTATCGGGTCACATGTATATGCTATACATTCAGATTAATTGTAATTTAATTTGTTGAACCGTTTCTTTCTTCTTTTTTTTCTTCCTTTCAATATTTCATTCGTATTACTCATTCATTTACCACAAAACGGTGTTGTGGTTGACGGTGCTTGCAAACTTTGACACATTTGGATCGCCATCGCCAGTTATTAGTCACAAAAAGCACTGAAAACATAAATAATTTGAACAACGAAGGCTATACACCGTTACATCTGAGCTGTCAATGGGATAAACCGGACTGCGTAAAAGCATTGCTGGCCGCTGGTGCTGATGCCAATATACAAAGTGCTAAAACTAAAGGACCAAATAATAACAGTAAGTGATTGGCTAATAAAAGCTTGAAGCAAATAACGAAATACGTTTTTTTTCATTGATTCACGATAATTAGCTCTAATTGAATTGAATTGATTTTGCTTTCAAATCTCCGTCAGTGTAATTCACCAGAAACGCTGGTTTGCTCGATTTAATCTAGTGTAAAATTGAATGAAACAACTGAAAATTAAGCATTTTCAATTTTTTTGCGTGAACAATTTTATTTTATTGATTTTGTATTCCAAGCGGTTCCAAGCAATAATTTAATGCTGACAAAACTCCATGTAATTGATGGAAAATGGATTTTACCATGAAATAGAGTACGAAGTTTTGCCAGAACCGTTCAGAAAATGACAGAAACCTTTTCGAATACTCGAAATTTTCGAAACTGATGATTTGTCGGGCATAAATATTCTATTCCAAAAGTAATAACCGAGTAGTCAGTCATCAGTTTCGGACGTTTTGGATAGCAATTTGTTTGTTAATTTAATTAAATGAATATCTTACACTGTGTTGTTCTATGTTATAAATTAATTTAAAAATATTCCATATATTGTAGTAATTACGTGTATTTTTACTCATATTACGTGTCCATTTTTTTCTCTGTGCCTAACAGGTACTATAGCCGTTTGCCGTGAATTGGACACACGCAAATTGGCAACCAGTGAAATGAAAAATGGTGGAACACCATTGCACTGGAGCACTTCACGCGAAGTGTTGTTAGAGTTAATTTTACGCGGATGCAATGTAAATGCTGTCAATTTTGACGAAAAGAGTGCACTGCATATTATGGTCGAAAAGAACAGCATTGAGTGTGCCGTTGCATTGTTAGCACACGAGGCTGAAGTGGATATTGTTGACAAAGATGGTAATACACCGTTGCATATTGCCATTGAAAAGAAACTACTGCCAATGGTACAGTGTCTAATTGTGTTTGGTGCTGATTTCGATCGACCAAATGGACAAGGAAAAACGCCACGTCATATGGTTGGCAAAAGCTCACATCGAAATGCAGACGATAATATTTTGTACATTCTTCATTCGGTTGGTGCACTGCGTTGCCATGAGAGCAATACAACTTGTCCCAGTGGTTGTAACTTCAGCGGTGATTACAATGGTATTAAACACCTGAAATTAAATTTAAAATTCTGCCAAAAATACTTAATATATCCAAATTGATTTTATCAGGTATTCCACCGGAGCAACCCGAATCACCGGAACGTCGTGAACAAATTTACCAAGTGTTAGCATCCACAAGTCGATCGCATCGAAATAACATAGCCAATAATATTACCAACTTTCTATCGAATTCATCCAGCATAGACTCACCAACTGGGTAAGACATATTTTTCTTTTTAAATTTATCAGTTGTGTGAGTTGAGAAAAGAAAATGATGAAATTACATACTTGATTAGTCCTCAGGAGCCAGTTCGAGCGATTGTTGATGTGAGCGCTGAGGAAAAAGGACGTACAATTATGGATACTTTGTTGAGTATGTTTTTGAAGAAGGAAACAGCACCAAATCTCATCCGTTTTGACAATGAATCGGAAACGATAAGTCATGGTGACGAAGCGGACGAAGACATGGAAGGTGTTGATGCAGCCGATGGTGAAAATGATGAAACCGAAACCACCGTCCATACAACCACCGAAACCAATGAAAAACGTTCGGAGTTGGGTCGTGGACGGCTATTATGTATGGATGGCGGTGGTATTCGTGGATTGGTTTTGGTACAAATGCTATTGGAAATTGAGCATATAGCAAATACACCAATACATCATATGTTTGATTGGGTTGCCGGTACAAGTACGGGTGGAATATTGGCGTTAGCACTGGGCGCCGGTAAAACAATGAAACAATGCATGTGCTTGTATCTGCGCATGAAAGAACAGGCATTTATTGGTTCACGTCCATACACCAGTGACAATCTTGAGAATTTATTGAAAGACACTTTAGGTGCAAATACGGTTATGACTGACATAAAAAATCCCAAGGTTATGGTTACAGGTGTTATGGCTGATCGGAAACCAGTTGATTTACACTTTTTCCGCAACTATAAATCGGCTAGTGATATTCTGGGTGAGTAATATTCAATTTTTTTCTGCACTAGAGCTGATATTGATACCGGAGAACTGTGTGGGCACTAGTGACTCACAAAAAAATTGTCCTATCCTTCGTGGTTTCTGTAACAGCTCTGGTGTACAGAAAGAAAGAAAAACACATCATATTAATTGGACGATATTATTTTCATATTTTCAATTTTGTAGGCATCGTAACACCAGATCGTAAGTATTTCTTAATGCGCTTAATTCGAATTTGAAATAAACATAATTTTCAATGTTCAAATCGTGTAGAAAATCGTCGTTGTCCTCCACCACCGCCTGATAAGCAACTCATTTGGAAAGCAGCTCGTGCAACTGGTGCTGCACCATCATATTTCCGAGCATTCGATTACTTTTTAGATGGTGGCCTTATCGCAAATAATCCAACATTGGATGCAATGACCGAGATTCATGAATATAATATGGCTTTACACAGTGTTGGACGAAAATCGGAAATAATGCCCGTTTCAGTGGTTGTTTCACTTGGCACTGGATTAATTCCAGTCACTGAACTAAAGGATATCGATGTTTTTCGACCTGAAAGTTTGATTGATATGTATAAATTAACTCAAGGCGCATCGGCCATTGGTAAAATCAATATTATTTCGTCAGTTTAAAAGTTAAAAAAATAAAAACTGAATTTGATATTTTAAAAATATAGGTAATTTGCTTGTCGATCAAGCAACAGCCGCAGATGGACGAGTTGTTGACCGAGCAAGAGCCTGGTGTAGTATGATTGGAACACCATATTTCCGGTAAACAAAAATCTTTCACAAACACTGTTCGACATAGAAAATATAATAAATATTATTTGTTTAATCCACAGATTCAATCCACAAATGTCCGAGGATATTGCAATGGACGAGAAAAACGACATAAAACTAATTAAAATGTTATTTGAGGCTAAAGCTTATATGCATAAAAATCGAAATAAGGTCATCGAAATGATAAATTTAATCAAATAGATTAGAAAACAATACATCCTCAATTCTCTATACAAACTGTTATTTGTTATTTTGTCAACAATTTGATGTAAGAAAAAAAAATCACCTCACTTTATCTATCGATGTCATAAAATATGTTAACTATTGAAAAAGATTTTAAGAGAAAACCAAAAAAAAAAAAAAAAAAAAAACAATTGCACACGTTCCAAATAAAACGGAAACCAACTACAATTACAGTGTACATTTTCAAATATCGGCTCATTTGTTCGTAGCCTGAATGCAGGTTTATTCATAATAGAATATGTCTTTTCTTGCTTGTATTGAATTGTTGTTGTGATTTCTAAACGTTAAGTAATGTGATGTATTAAAATTATTTATTTATCGAAAGAAAATCTCATATTGAATACCAGCGTTGCACACTGAAAATAAAAAAATTTAACAGTTCGGTGAACAAAAAAAATTCAAAATTCACAACTTAAAACCAAGGTGAAAGTTCAGGATGTTCATAAATTCCAATTACTTTTAAAATCTGATCGCTCACTGTACTCCATTTATAAAGAAAATAAAAAAGACGATTAAATGTGAATGGATCCAATGCATTCCTTCGTAAAGAAAACAGAAAAGATTTATTTATTCAGAAAATGAAGAAAAAAATGTTCAGCAACAAAAAAAAGTATTTAAACCATCAGAAATGACATAACACAAAATCTCTATACTTTTAGTAACTTATTCACAACAATGTAGTAGTTGAAATCGTTAATGTGCCAAAGTTGGAAATAAAATTGACGTTTTTTTTTTTGTGTTTCGCTTTTTAAATGCCGCATATAAAAACCACAAGAGATGTATAAATTAAAATCATATCCATTCATTAAAATGAAAGAATGTTACCGAAATTTACAAATATTTTTTAAGTGTCACACACAAATACACGATTGTTATATTTCTGAATTCGATACCAAAACACCTAGCATAAACATTCAGAAACGAGATTACCAAACACAAAAATTAAAGCTTTAAACCCACAAAAGATCAATTTACCCCCAAAAAAAAATTGCATGAATATTTTGAGAATTTTTCGAGTTGATTCATTTTTCATTTCCGATTTGATAAAAAAAATTTAATGACAATAAAATCATTACAACTGCTTAAAAACAAAAATGCTTCAATAAGACTTTTTAAAGACAATTTCTCTCACACAGACAAAAATAAAATAAATCATACTATTTACGCCATTTTTTCTCATAATTCAATTCACACAACAACAACCAAAATTCCCAACGGCAGTTCATTTGCTTTTTCGACAAAGATCACCTTTGGATCAAGTGCAAGCAAAACAATTTTTCCCTCCACAATCATATTTTTATTTGATTTTTTGTACCTATTTACAACAACATGTGCGACAGAATTTTAACCATTAATAGTTTTCATACTTTTCTATGCGAGATGGTTTAACATTCAAGATCAACAAATAATTTAAGACAATTGTCAAGGAACTCGTTTATTAATCAATAAATGTTCACAAAATTTGAATGAAGATTATTGAAATTGACAAAACAAACAAAATTGTACCTTGTAATAATGTTTTTAATGTATCTATAGAAAAGTTTTATTGAAACATTATGAAATCGGATATTATATTATAAAAGTAAAATGCATTTCATTTGAATGAAAATGTCATACACAATATATTGAAAGAAAGTACATGATGAAATGTATTGATTGCATGAATGGAATGCTGAATGCACTACACAAAAATGAAATAAATGATGAATAAAATGTGCATAATTTGTGTTAATTATTGTAGTTTGTCCGACTTGCGACAGCAGAGATATTGCATTCAACATGTTATTTGCATTTTTCATATAGCGGCTACAAACAGGTAAAATATTAACAAAAAAATAAAACATTCAATTATCTCCTCATAAATGAAACAAAAAGTAAAAAAAAAAACCTTACAAAGTCAATGACGACGAACTTTCTTGTAAACATTCATTATGACATGTATTACATGTGCATGTACTTGTACATACATCGTAGTGAATTCGCCATCTGAAATGATAATGTTTCGACTTGAGCAACATTTCGCCATCATTTGGCTAAATCAATTCATCGGAATAAAAAAGTCATGCGAAGAAAACTGACAGATCAAAATGATATTCATAATAAAAACATAAAGTTTTCTATAAATGGAATTTAATTTTTTCAAGAAATATTTTGTACTTAAATCAGCCTTATATTATACTGCATACCATAGAATTGTTGTCTTTTCGCCAATCAATCAGCGTGTGAAATTAAAGTGAATACCACTGCGAAGCATTGAATAATTGGTGCAAAATTATTGTACAATTGTGAGTTACATTAAAGCCGAACATATCGATTTAGTTTTTTTTATTTTAATTGCGTGAAACAAGTGGAGTTTGTGTTAGAAAACTACGACGCAATACCATTGAATATTCTTTTTTTTATTGTCACAATTATATTTATAGGAAATTCGATATATTCCGATCGTTTGAAGTGAGATTCTATTTTGCGTTGTAAATTATGGCAACAAATAAACCAGCCGCATCAACCGCTCACCAGCATCGTAGTCCCGTCAAAGGCATTTTAAAAACATCCAAAAGTTTCGAAAAGCATGAAACACCCGGGTATGCACACTTTTTCCGTGTTCCAATTGATTTCAGTTTGAGATTTTATCGAATATTTTCTTTTGCTTTAATATCGGCGAACACAACAACAACTCCAACAACAACAACAACAACAACAACAACAATAAAATAAATACAGCATCAATAAGAGTACTAAGTTTGATGAAATCAATGTAAATTTAAACAAACATTAATCAATTTAGCAAATATTAACATATTATTGCATTTAGGTACAATTGACACATCATCCTGCCGATAAAGATTATGGTCACATGAAAATTAATGAACCGAAAACTCCATTCCATTACGAACATGATGTCAATGTCGATGAACTAGATGCTAATTTATTGGCCGAAAAGTAAGCACCATTAACACTTTTTTTTCGTTCTTTTGCGCATTTTTTCAATTTAATTTGGAGTTATTTTATTTTAAAAAATGCATATGTTGTTCTTTTGTGTATAGACTGCAAAAGACGCTAACACACTCTCAATTTATCGATCAATCACTTGAAGAGGATAGTGAAGATGAAGATCAAATCATTGAAACCGAAGAGGAATTACGTAAGTTGAAAAACGATTACATGTGTATTTGAATATACAATCGGCTGTTGTGTGGGCGAATGAACAGTGCATTGCATTTAATGTAAATTTAAAATCGTTTCGTTTCTATTTCATTTTACGATATATTTGTTGTTGTATTTATAATAGAAAAACGAAAAGATTTTGAAAGACGTCGCAAATTGCACTATAATGAATTCGAAGCAGTTTTACGGGCACGTCAATTAATGGAACAGGATGAAGACGAAGATGAACGAATTGAAGTAGATGAATCATCACCATCAGCGAAGTAAACTGGAGTGTACTTTACCGGACCAATTCTTCCATGCAATTATAACCTTGAAAGCAATCCGCGCCTTTGATGTTTTCCATCAATAATGATTTCAGGATAAATAATTCAATGTGATTTTTGTCGACCTTAATCAAATGAAAATCAGCAAACAACATTGTTAAGCAAGATAAAGAGAACAATTGAGTTGATCACTCATACACATTACACCATAATATGCATAAACATGAGCTTCACAACCATTTTTTTACATTAAATGCGAAATGATTAGAATTGTAAGAAATCGATAGGCACTTCTATGCGACTACCAATATATTGATTAAGAGATTGATTTATAATTTAATAAAAACAATTTACTGCTCATTCAAATAACATTAATAAAATGAGACAATAACACATATGGTTTGTTGGCGTTTTTTTCTCATTCTCGTTTCCACAGAATTCAATCGGCCTCTTCCTGAGAAAATATACATTTCTATATTTTAATGTGATATTTTATCGATTTTTTTTTTGTCTCCTACGTAATAAAATTATATAAAAAATCCGTCAATGATATAAAAAACCATGTTAAAATAAATCCTAAACTCATTTGATTTTAATAGTGGAACGATCAAAGAGCGTATGTATGTAGGGAATAACGTTCTCATTGTGTGGCTATGTCTTCAAAAAAAATCCTGATGTTTACATGAATATTTATTAAAACTAAGTCCGTCGATGGTCGAAAATCGACAAATTCATTTCAAAGTGCTAAATTTATACGCTCGAAAAAAATAGATGAAATGAATTCAATGATACACACAAATCATTTCACCTTGTATTTCACACTGACCATATTTCTATATGTATTAGAGTGGTTCGATTTTTATATTTTTTCGAGAATCAAAAATCGTACCCCAATAACCTTTCTAGGAAAGTCATAGAAACGACTATGACAACGAATTCAACTCGCCAGCCCTAGACGATTGAAAAGAATCATTTTTTTGGTGCATTTTTAGCACTTTGAAGCAGAATCTGACGTTAATTTTCAACACACTTCTCATAAAAACATTCACAAAAATCCTATACCAGACAATGTAAGGGCATGAAACTTTACATGGTTTTTTTTTTTTTTTTCAACAAAAAATAACATTCTGAAAGTTTGAAGCAATTTGAGTCAAAATTAGGAACACTTTCAATACAAAATTTTCGATTCTGAGCAAAAAATCGAAAAATTGATAAAATCCTTATTTTCCATTAAAATTTCCTCAAAACTAGCCAGATTATGTATTTTGTTAATAGTGTAATATTCACAAGCTTCTACGGTGCTTAAGTTATTGCAAACGTGCATGTATATCACAAAACGAACATCAGATTCGATTTTGTAAAGGTAAACATAAACCAGCATTCACATGGCGATACATCAATACACGCAAGGGCTCACTGTCACTACTCCCACGGATGACAACTTCATCCGTACCCGTCACGGATGCGGATATATATTTTATCCGTATCCGTTAAACTAAGCTGGCGAATACGGATGAATTGTATGTCCGTGCGATGTGTATCCATGAAAAGTTCTTAATACATCCGTCGCTATTTCTGTATTCACGGATAAAATATTTATACGTATATGTAGTTGTCGACTTATTCGTGCTGAGACGAATATATACTTTTTCCCTGTTCATTTAAATCTGCAAAAATATTCATATAGCCCACCTAAAAAATGTGTTCCTCGCTACGTATGGTGTAAGGAAACTGTCATAAAATCTGGATTTTTACAAAAAACACTTTTTCAACATATCCATATAAATCGACTCAAAAATGAAGTTTGCCTCCACAGATTTATGATGGAGCGTGATAAAGGCCTGAATTATGGATGAATTCGGTGAATTAAGGTCCAATCTCAATTTCCCGCTTGCTAACTCCTTGGGTGTAGTACAAAAAATCGCCGGAATAGCTCATTGAAATATCAATATTTTTCAATTGCAGTTGTTGTTAGTGATCGTTAGCGTACCCCTCTTTGTCCGCGGAAGATCCATACCACATTCAATTCTGCACGCTCTCACATATTTATTTTTCCATAAAATATATTTTGGGAGAAAATACCTGATATATTTCAACTACAATACACACGGCGAAATGGTCTCGAACGATACAAATCAATTTTATACCTCGAGTTTGCTTAATGTGTGTGTGTGTGTGTGTGTGTTTCGGTCACCGTTTTTTCCTTTGCAATGCTATGCATGTGAAAAGTAGTTGCTGTTATAATTACCATTTACGAATTTCAAATGGTTCACAACGTTTCACATTTTGTTGTTACAATTGTCACCGTCACCGTCACCGTCGTTGGTAAATGCAATTGCCATAATATCGTGTATGCGTAACTGCATCTGTGCGTTTGGATATGAGAGCGAAAACCACCTTCAAAAATAATGACGCATTTCGAATGGGAGAGAGTGGCAACTAGAGAAAAGTAAAAACGCATACACGTACAAACTCACCCATGCTCATGCTAACAAGCAAACGATAGACGAACGAAATAAGCCTTCAAACGAAATGCACATAGAACATAACTAACTAAAGCAACCGCAAAATGAACGAAATCAAACCACCATCTACACATATTATTATCGTTCGATGCTTCGTAATACCCATTTGGATTGCATAGAAATTAGAAAATTTGTGCATTTGATCTCGATGCAAATACGCGTCGTTTCTCTGCCATACTTTGTTGTTGACTCTTCAACATTTTGGCCAGCTAAGGCTTTAACATACATTTTTTTTGATATACAATACTTTTGCCTCTTTCGATGACTACATATATGCATACCTTCAACACTCTTGGGCCCCGTTGTTTTGCATTTTGGCGCAATTCGTTCCAGTCTTCGTATATTACTGATGTAACAACATCAGAAAATATAAACGCGTCCATCATATTATTTGCAATGGTTGTCGTCTTCATCTCCGTCGCAATCCTCGTTGTCTTCGTTGGCGTCGTTTTTAATGTTGTATACGTTGCTGTTTTTCACGTTCAATGTGTAGGCTTTTATGCAATGCACATTGGCCCCGAGGCTTAACAAAATTGATTCGCAAGAAAAATATAGTCAATGATTGCGTTAGATAGCCATTCACATACATAGAATAGCTCAAAAGATAGACAAATACGCACTGTCTTCCTTTCTCTTTCTATTATACACACAAATACACGCATACACAAAATCACACATATATTCTTTGGGTTTTTCAACGCCTTTATGCATACATAGCACGAAAAAGCCCCGAAGATGTATTTGTGAGTTTGTATATGCTGGAAAGCAATGCAACCTGGTTTATAGCTTGATCGAGTTTCTGTGCATCCAACAGGATGAAAAAAAAACGAAATAGATAAAACAAAGACCATATGCAGTACTTTTTGTTTTTATTTTGCTTTTGTTATTTCCCGTATCCTCTTGGACAATATATGAAGTAAAATCAGTCAGTCACATTCACTTATTTACAAATCAATAATCAAAGCTGTACAAAATAAACGATATCACTGTACACTTGTACAGTGCGAAAGATATACAATTGAAATCGATATATTGGACGCATATTTTACTTAAAATTAAATTTTGTCATACTAAAAAAAGAAATGGTCCTAATTATGTGTAGATTCTACTGTAGTGCAAAATATTTTTTTTTGAATTGGATGAAGAAATATTCTTCAGAAAATGGATCTTTTTTTGGAATTACTCATAGTTTGTCCCGTGGTATTGTTTCCAAATCGAATATTTTATGCACACTGTGGAAGCATTGTCACTTTCCCATACAAAATCACTACTAAATTTTGTTCAAGGTATTGGCCCTCTATCAACCAGGTAAGCAGTTGACAATGTCAACATAATATCACATCTTGTCAACCGTCTAAAAACGATACAAACTCGTGTTCGGAGAAAAATTGTTAGTGGTGCTTTCTATTTCTTCAAACTTTCAGAATATTATTTTTTGGCGGAAAAATAATCTGTTCAAAGTTTCACGTCATTACGATACCATGAAAGCATGGCTCCCATACGAAAATCAAATTTGGGGTTTTTGTATGAAAAGTCTGTTAAGAAGTCTCTTAAAAATTTGGCCTTCTCATACCAGACACCTCCCCTCACTACACATTCTGTCAGTGTTCAAATTTCAAGAATATCACTTTAGGGCATCGATCAACCAATGTCGCTGATATTTTGACCAGATATATTCCTACCAGTCCCCAACTATCCCGTAAAGTCATATTTTGAAATTCGTGTCTGGTCAGCGTGCTATAGAGTCACCAAAATGGCTAAAAATGTATGGATGTGACACACCGGGATCGTGGTAAAACTAGCATTTTCGAAGGATACCTCTATTACACTTTACCGGTGTTGAACGGTATCAACTAATGTTACTCGAAATTTGAACAGATGTACTCCTCGCAGTTCCATAATCCATATCATCCAGTAAAATCAGATTTTGATATATTTTCTGTGTGATAAGTTATTATACAAAATATAACAATTTTGCGGACAGGACACAGGCTAGATGGCACATCACACACAGCGAAGCATATTAATATGCCCCAAAATCGCAACCAATCGTGTTTTCTACATGAAATATGCATAGAAAACATGTTTTGGTGTTACTTTAATTTTTTGGCCTAATACCAAGCATTCACGAAGAGATACATCAAAACAAAACGTTACAGCTTGACGCGCTATATTATATTAATAACATATTTAATCACAGCGGACGGCAGTGAGTTGAAAATATATTAGTTCAAAAGCAGGTATTTATATGACGGCTAAGCCAATTCTACGTACTAAAATTCAAG